GCCGCTGAGCAGAGCCCAGCTACGTGGAGCCACAGGTGAGAGTTGGGTGCCAGCAAATGGACGCTAGGTGTAGTCTCACCTGCAAGCAAGTGAGCGACCACTACGACCATCACGTGGACCCACCGCTGACACCCCTACACCCTACACACACACACACACACACACACACACACACACACACGCACACACAAACCAGTTGAAATCCGGCAGGGACTAGAACGGGGATTGATGATAATCCACAATTAGTTGGAAGCTAACCCCCATCAACTGTGGGGAGGAAATTTCACATAAAACGAAGAACTATATATACATGGGGGTAACAGTGGATGCCTTGTGAAATCAAGTCAGTCAAGACTGATGGCGTTGATTTTTTCGGCGCATTTCCCTGTCGTGTTGGCTGGCAATCATGGCGTCTAAGATTCGTCTTCAGTGCCATTTCTAATAGATTTTGTCAGTCCACATCAAGATCAATTCGCCGTCGCAATTGGAACGTGAGTAAAAGCTCACCGACGTCTTGTCGATAGTGGAGACGATAAACGTTTAAGGCTGTCAGGCGCTATTCGTACGTCAAATATTTGAGTTCAGGGACAAGCTATATAGCACGTCCTTGCACACCACCTTCAAGATGAGCTATGCCCTCCCGAAGTAACGGACGCCAAGCCTGTACCACATACTCCATGTGTGTCCACACAAATGTTCCCTATACATCACCGACGATATCGGCATCCAGTTCGTGCAAGGTTCTGCCCACAGTCCTCGAAGTTGACGTTGTCTGCACTGCGATGTTACGCTCACATCGTCTTTAATGAATTCTTCACACACATGTATACGGTGAAGGCTGGCCTATTCCGTATGTTGCGACCTATCAAACGATATGGGTTGTGAGATGACAAAGTGCATGAGGTGAGATGGGGAAGACAGCAGTAGAGGCCGGATCTGCTGTGCAGAAATTCGGTAGTGGTCAGGGCGCTATCCGCCCCACCGACAAATGCGCGGCCACATCTGAGACTGTGCACACGCAAGTCTGTTCGTTAGGGTGCTTTACCTGAAAATCGACCCAGAGGCATGAAAGGACGTCGCGGAAGATGGACAGGAGTGGCGCATTAGCGTAAAGGTTGGATTAGCAATGTAGGAAAACCTGCAGTGTGGCCGGCAACACTCAAATGCTACGGATAAATACTGTCAACACCCAAAACCCTGCCATCACTTCCACACCGTGAGCGGACCTTCGGGGACGGACCGACTTCACAACACACAACCACTACCGCCGCCATCGCCGCCGCCGACGCCGCTGCCACCACTGACAACACCAATGAGGACACTCCTACCTACCTGCAAAATATTAAAACCACTCCTCCTCATCCTCCTACTTCTAATCCACCGCCAACACCATCACCACTCGATGCTTGACCAGGTCTCGTGAGAGAATGCATAGACGGACAGTTTGCAGCTTTGTCCACCACTGCGCCCGATCCCACCTCCAGTCATCTGGAAACTGGCTTTCCATCGGAGTCCGGTGAGCGTGGGTGGGAGAGAGGGAGGGAGGGAGTGGGGTAGATGTTGCGCAGAGCTGCCTCACAATAAAGTGATTCCCGCGAAAGTCACCAGTGCTGCGTCCAGTCTGCGCGCAGCCGATGCAGGTCGTGCCTCGTGGCGATCACATGATTCCACCTAGAGGACCCAGTTCACAGACTAGCTCATTGTATCACAATAGCGGCGGCCGAAATGAAGGCATGGCATCAGTAAGCGTGTTGATAGCAGCGAATTATGTGGTCATTCTTCTTATCAACCTTGGTACAGTAGCTGAGATTACCTGACAGTCCTATTTACGCTGTGGGAAACATGGGAAGCAATAAGACCAAATCCGACAACACATTCAAATATTAACTACAAATTGGCACAATTTTGGTTGCATTTATCGCGCATTTTATTTCAATACCTATCGACCTTAACATTAACAGTGTGTAAGGCGTACAGATCATTAAATCGAGACGTCGGACAAGAGGTCGGTTGACACGAGGTGGATGTCAGCACCCATAATGTGCACATTGCCGGACAAAGAACTATAAGCGTCACCAGCAGAGCTGGCCAATCAAAATGCGACTAACTGTCAATATTCAACTCCGATGCTGCCCGGATGGCTGACTGAGCGCCCTCTGACCAGCCCACGCAGGAGAAGGGCATATGACCCAGCTGGCACATCAAATTCACGCCAAATCGGGCATCCTGCAGCAGGATCTGCGGATCAATCCGGTCGCGGACGGGAGAGTGCTGGAACAGTAACCTGGTGGATCAAAGCCTATCGCAGTGAATCTACAGCCGGGGGGAGAGGGTGGACAGACATACCTTGTCGGTCAGTAGACTGGGGAGGGGTGGGGGACGGGAGGCAGGCAGTTCTCTGGAACTTCAGCCGTGCATACTTGACGCACACGTGCTCATGGTCTGAGAGGGGGATGGTACTCTATCGGTTACACGGTACTGCCATGCAGCATTATCTCCGCGACATTTGCGCCTAAGGCAGACCACGCATTGGATGCGCTGCATAGCCACGGGGAACTATATCGGAGTCTGGCAGGCCTTATTGACGATGCTCACCTCATAACACATGCCGCATTTGGGGTGTGACGGCACGTCCAATTCGTAAGAAGACACAACACCAAGCCCCATGGAAGACATGCATCGTAATCATTCATGAAAGAGAC